TCCTCTTCTGAAACCCTGAGGGAAGGTAATTGAAGTAACAAATGTGGAGCCACAGTTCCAGTTCTCTATGAAACTGCTGCTGGGTTCAAATTTCTTTTTTCAAAGACAGGTGGAAAATTGTGGGGTTACTCTGTACAGTTTTTAGAAATACTTCCAGAACGACTTAATTAAAAGGGCCTAAAATGGCCCTGTAAACAATGTCCTTGGAATGCTTGTTAGTGTCAAGATGAGGGCCATTTCCCACCTCTACTACTGTCCCTATGTTATCAGTCATGGCTCCAGCCATTAGGATTCCTGTCGTCATAGTAGAAATCCTCTCGGCCTCCTCTGTAATGATAGTCAGACCCATGGGCAGAGTAGCGTTGTTCACAGCTATAGTGTCTATCTCCTAGGTAGGGGTGAGAATTCTGTCTTTTACGCTGTAATGACAGTGCATCTTGGCGCCACTGGGAGCTGGAAGACTGGTTAAAGGTATGAGCGTGTGATTGACCTGATGGCGAAAATCCCGACTGATCTGCATGTGGAGAACCAAATTTCCCAACATAAGACATCTCTCTGAAAACATTGTTCATTACTGCTTGCCGCTGATAATCTTCTGGAGAAGAGAAGGACCTCTGAACCATCTGCGCTGATGGAGTCACGTTACCCACCGTCCTTTCATAGCTGTTAGGAGATGTGGATGTGGGGTTTAAATTTCCAACATGATGCTGGGGATATGACACACTGGCATCCTGAGAGGCGTGACTACTTCCTGATCTAAACTGAATTTTGATAGGCCTCCCGAAAAGTTTGATTCCATTGAGAAGACTCACGGCGTAAGGAACGGACACTTCGTGTTTGAAATTCACGAATGCAAACTGTTTCAGTTTGCCATCTTTATCTTTTGGGATTTTCACCTTTATTACTGGCCCAGCCTGGTGGAACAGCTCGAAGAGGAGCTCCTCCATCACCTTCGTCTCCAGGTTGCCCACGAACAGAGTGCGGTCGGCCTCGGCGGCCGCCGCCCCCATTTCCGCGTCGCTTCCAGTCTTGGGCCTAGTCTGACTGCTCACAGCCAGCCAGCCGACCCTACTGCGCACTCTCAGGAAGACCCGTGTCCTCTCGTTCAGATGTCACAACGAAAACCATGATGCTATTTTTAAGGCCGCTTTTTCTGCTTCTATCTTGTGATGTTTAGGTCTTTCTGTTGGAGGAGGGCTAGGTTCTGATGATGCTGTATTGCTCTTTATGTTGTTGTATGTATTTTTGCCTTGACATCTGCCCATGTCCTCCTCTAATAGGTATAAGAGGTGCCTGTGTCTGAGCGAGTTGCTATTGTTTCACTCTGTGCTTGTTGTGTCTGTGTCTCAGGGGGCCCCTCTTGTTAATGTTAGATCTTGGTCTAATTGGAACAGGCAGATTCTGTGTTTCAGCAAGCTGCTCTTGGGTCACCCCAAGCTTGTTGATTCTGTGACTCATGGAGCCACTCTTGGTCTAATCAGGGCTTTGGTCCAGTCAGAGCTGACAGATTCTGTGTTTCAGGAATCCTGTCTTGGTCCAATGAGAGGTGGCAGATTCTATGTCTCAGAAAGCCACTCTTGATCTAACGAGGGCTGGCAGATTCCCTGTCTCAGGAGGTTACTCTTGTTCCAATGAGAGCTCTTTGTCCAATGAGGGTTGGTGGTTTGGTTTCCATGCCTTGGGAAGTGGCTGGGGTCTCAGGGGGATGGGTATGGGGGCAGGGCATGTAGATGCAGGGTTGTGTGTGTGGGGTCTTGTTGAGGGCGGCCTTCCCACAGGAGCCCTGCCTGCTGGCCTGCAAATGGGACAGAGTTGGGTGGGGGTTCCCGGGGACCAGCTGTGTTCCAGTGATGGGTCCAATGGGGAGGACTCTCTGGGTATGAGCAGAGTCACTCACCTCTTGGTCCAATCGACTCTTTTGTCTTTTATAGAATCTTTTACTTTCTCATCATAAAGTTCAATATTCCCTAGGAAGCTTCCTTACTAAGATGTCTCTGTTGCATGGTAGTGCAGTTTTTCAAAAGTCTCCTGTCCATCTGTTCAGCACATCCTTTTCTGTTATTGCCATGGTTGTTTGTTTACCTTCCCACAATACATTAAGTGAATCTGTGATAAAATATGTAATAAAAGTTTTGAGACAATGATACCTTTAGGCCCCCAGGAAAAGAGCTGGAATTCAAAGGCAGAAAGGCAGAGAGTCTGCCTTCTTGTGAGATTTCCTAGTATTAACCCTGTTGTGGCAGTGCACAATTGTAATTCCAGAACATGGGTATCTGAAGCCGGAAGACTGTGAATGTGATGCCCATCTGAGTTACAGCATGAGATTATAACTGAAAACAAACTAATATTTCCCAGAAGTATCCCCAAGTAATAATTATTGAGATCAGTCTTATGAAAGTGTAAAACTATATTATTCTCATTTACCCATAGAATACAGTATTACATGGTGTAAACATTAAACCCTCTTATATTCTTTGTGCACATTGCCTTCATTCCCATGGATCGTTGTCTAGAATTATTTCTATAAATCTCTTTGAACATCACAGGGCAGATTGGGTATGGTGGTGCACACCTTTAATGCCAGCACTTAGGTGGCAAAGGCATGTAGGTGGATCTCTGACCTCTTTGAGCTTGAGGTCAGTCTCGTCTTCAGAGCAACTTCCATCCCACCATACAGGACTCCATAGTGAGACCCTCTCTCAAGAAAAACATCCCAATGCATTTAGTAGGTGGGTTGTCACAAACTTGTGAACACAGCACTACATAGATGGAAGCAGGAGGATCAGTTGTTCAATGAATTCATCCACTAGGAAGTAAGTTTGAGAACAGCATCAGTTTTATGAAACCCTGTCTCTAATATTCTCTCCTCCCTAGAAGAAATTACAGATTGTGTCTTTTGGGGCTATACATCAGTCACATTTCAAGCCCACTCGATATACATATGCTGTGTGGTACTCCTATCCTCTCAACATTCCCTGTACCTTTCCTAACCCCCTTTCAATGCTTTCTCATTTCATGTTGCCATTTCTTTCTTCATGTCCCTTTTCATCCTCCATCCATAGTTCCCATCGATTTGCTGCATACAGGTAACACACTTCAACTTCAAAGACAGACACCACCTCAAAATAAAAGGCTGGGAAAAGACATTCCAACCAAATGGATTTAAGAAGCAAGCTGGTGTAGCTATCCTAATATCTAATAAAATGGACTTCAAACTAAAATCAATTGAAAGAGATCAGGAAGGACACTAGATATTTATCACAGGGAAAATTCGACAAGATGAAGTCTCAATTCTGAATATTTATGCCCCAAATACAAGGGCACCGACATTCATAAAAGAAACATTACTAAAGCTTAAATTGCACATCAAACACCATACACTAGTAGTGGGAGAATTCAACACCCCACTCTCACCAATGGACAGGCCTGCCAGACAGAAACTTAACAGAGAAATAAGGGAACAGGGAACTAACAGACATTGTGACTCAAATAGACTTAATAGATATTTACAGACTATTCCACCCTAATATAAAAGAATATACCTTCTTTTCAGCACCCTGTGGAATCTTCTCCAAAATCTACCACATGCTTGGTCACAAAGCAAATCTCAACAGATACAAAAAAATTGAAATAACCTCCTGTGTCTTATCAGACCACTATGGCTTAAAGTTAGACTTCAACAACAACAAAAATTACAGAAAGCATACAATCTCATGGGAACTGAGTAATGCCCAGTTGAATCACCAATGGATGAAGGAAGAAATAAAGAGAGAAATTTAAAGATTTCCTAGAATTCAATGAAAATGAATGTACAACATTCCCAAACTTATGAGACACCATGAAAGCAGTGATAAGAGGGAAATTCATAGCACTAAATGCCCACATAAAGAAGTTGGAGAGCGCCGGGCGTTGGTGGCGCACGCCTTTAATCCCAGCACTCGGGAGGCGGAGGCAGGCGGATCTCTGTGAGTTCGAGGCCAGCCTGGGCTACCAAGTGAGCTCCAGGAAAGGCGCAAAGCTACACAGAGAAACCCTATCTCGAAAAACC